TCGTGAAATCAACAGAAAGAGAAACACATCAATGCACAACAATGTCGGATACCAATCCTGATTCTTCACGCTTCAATGCTCTAAACATCGATGTCACTGAATCCATTCTCTCTCTCCTCCCAATCCCATCCCTCGTCCGTTTCTCTTCCGTCTCCAAACTATGGCGATCCATCATCATCTCTCTTCCTCCTTCTCCTTCTTCCTCTTCTTCCCCATGGCTCTTCCTCTTCGGTATCCACAACACTTCCTCTTTCCACAACCAATCCTTCGCCTTCGATCCTCTCTCCGACTCTTGGCTCCGCCTTCCCTCCTCCTCTTTCCCCTCCGACCACCTCGTCGGATCCGATCGCTTCCTCTTCACCACCGCTCCTAAATTCTCCTTCTCACCGATCCTCAATCCTCGTTGGCGTTTCACTTCCCCTGTTCGATATCCTCGGATTAGCCCTCTTTTGGGCGTCTTCTCCACTCGCTCTGGCTCCTCTAAGCTCATCCTCGTCGGTGGAGATGAATACATCGGTCGATTAGTCGACATCGAGGATCGATTAGCCGTTCAGGTCTACGATCCGGTTCTCGATTCCTGGGAGCTTTGTCCGCCACTCCCTGCAGATTTCCAATCCGGTGATCAACCTTTAACTTCTGCTTTGTTTAATCGGAAATTCTACGTTTTCGGTATCAATTCCTACTTTATCTCTTCCTTTTGCTTGGAGACTTATACATGGAGCGATGTTCAAACGCTTAGACCACCTGGGCTCTCTTTTGCTTTCCTTAATTCATGTGCTGGTATGCTTGTTCTTGGTGGAATGTGTGGATTCTCTTTTAATCTCTGGAAAATCGAAGAAGGATCGATGGAATTCAGCGAAATCGCGATAATGCCTGAAGATTTGTTGTTTGGATTAGTTGATAATGAGGATGAGGAAGAAGATAGTAACAAGTTTAGGACCTTGAAATGTGTTGGTTCAGGGAATCTTATCTATGTGTTTAATGAAGATTGCCATAAGAATTATCCAGCTTGTATCTGTGAGATTGATGGAGAGAAAGGAAAATGCAGATGGAGAAGAGTGCCTCACTTGCCTTCTCCTGTCAACAAGTTTCATAAACTTGTTAGTTTCTGTTCGACTGTATCGATTAGCGACGTTTTCCACTCCGAGGAAACTCAGATTGGTTCGATCCATGCTTGAGTTTGCCTACTTATGTAACTGGTATGATCATCCACGCTCTCTCTCTCTCTCTTATATACAACTTGATTTGATCGAATTAACGCGTATTGGAAATCATTATGGTGGTGGCTCTTGTTAGAAGAGTTTTCACTGGTATTAGATGCAATGCCATTGACAATGTGTGTTGCGTAAGTTTTTAATGTATGGTAAAATTTTGAAATACGTTCTGTGTTAGTTTGTCTATGACTCAGAAATAGATTCAGAAACCGAACATGTGAATCTTCGTGCGTCAGCTATTTAGAAAACCAGTACCTATCTCACCATCCATGCGATTCGAGCCAATAGATATAAATGAGTGTGTGTTCACAATGTCTTAAGCCAAAGCATGCAAACATTGATATGTTCTATCTTCAAACCTGATGTGTAGCTAACTAACTTAGGGTTCTTGTTGCTTCGTCCATTGCTGTATTAGTACAGTTTCTGCGTACTAATAGCTAATAAGCTTCTCTACTTGTGACTTGGCAGTGATAATGTAAAGTCGAGATGAACAGAGAATGAAAATAATGGAACGTCTATAAAGATGGTTATCAATTTATCATGGTAATCATTCTCATGTAATTAGGTGAAAACTGGTTTGTAATTCTTGGTTTATACGTCATGTTAATTCTTTTGGTTCTACCTTTTTTTGTTTAAAATATGATACTTAAGACAATCCTAGATATTTGTATGTATGTCGTTGATTCAGAAGAACGTTTATATTGTATGTTTACTTTCTTATAGAACTGTAATTAAGAATATATCAAAGTTGACATGTTTTGATCTTAATAACACCAATCGATACGAGAAGCGGCAACAAGAAAAGCCGAATGGCTCGAGAGAAAAGAGGAAGAGTAGCCAACCAAGTGGGTAAAGTCTCTAGTTGAGAAAGAGTATTCGTTTTATGTTATCAGAACTACAGTAGAAAC